ATCCATGTCATCATTTACCCAGAATGCTTTGCGTGTAAATAAAATGGTCCCATCCGTGTAACATATTTTTAAAGTTTTAGTTTAGTTTAAGTCTAATGTTACAACTAATCATGCATCTCTTTAAGAACAGCTAATTTAGAACTGGTGGGTTGTTGTTGTTTTTTTTTATAGGGCAGGGCACATCTAATCTCATCACATTGATTGGACTCCAGGTTTGCTGACACCTGGCTCCAATTAGCTCTTAGAAAAGTCATTTTTCTAGGGGATCACATACTTTTTCCACCCTGCACTGTGAATGTTTACTGTACATGTTCAATAAAACCATACAGATATGATTTTTTTGTGTGGTGTAAGTTTAAACAGACTGTGTTTGTCTATTGTTGTGACTTTGATGAAGATCAGAACACATTTAATGACCAACTTCTGCAGAAATCCAAGAAGCCCCAAAGGGTTCACATACTTTTTCATGCAACTGTATTCTGTCTTGTCTCCTAACTTTGTCTGACTCCCCCTCAGGTTTTTATTCGAGCACCTGTCAGTGGAGAACTGTTTGGGGATGTACTCTCTGGCACGCTCTCATCACGACCAGCTGCTGCTGCGGGCCTCCCTACGGATGGTGGCCCAGCACTTCCCCCGTGTAGCCCGGCAGAAGGACTTTCTCCTGCTCGACCACGGTTCTTTGGGCAGCATCCTGAGCTCCGACCGTCTCGGGGTGGACTCGGAGATGGAGGTCTATGATGCAGCCCGCCGCTGGGCAGAGCACCAACCTTTGGATCGCTACCCTCACATGCCGGCGCTGCTTCACCACTTGCGTCCCGGGCTGCTGTCTCAGGAAGCGAGCCGAAGACTCAGCCAAGAGCTGGGGCCCGCTGCAGCGGGAGAGGGTCTCGGGGGACCTCTGAGACCACGAGAGGGAATGTTTGAGAAGAAGATCGTCTGCATGGACCTGACTCCTCGGGAGGATGAGAACGGAGCTACAAGGGACTGCACCGTGGACTGCTTTGATCCTCGGACAGGGAAGTGGGAGAAGCTGGCAACCCTGAGCTCACTCGTGAGTCCAGGCTGTGCGGCCATGGGAAACCGGCTGTTCGTAGCGGGCGGGATCCTCAGGACAGGGTCTGTGTCTGCAGCCGTGCATGAATATGACGTCGTGTTGGACCGGTGGACGGAACGGCCCGCGATGGGACAGCCGCGCGCCATGCTGGGCCTGCTCGGCTGCGGAGGGTCGCTCTACGCCTTGGGTGGCTGCAACCGTTCGGCTATGCTGGACTCCACTGAGATCCTGGAGCTGTCCACGCTCCAGTGGGGTCCCGGTCCTCGCCTGCCCCTCCCGCTGCGTGCCTTTGCCTGTGCGGCACTGCGTGGGCGACTTTACCTGCTGGGCGGGACCACGCTTGACCAGAACCGAGCCGTGGTCCACTCAGGCGTGCTGATTTATCACACTCTGACAGACTGCTGGACACGAGTGGCGCTGGACTCTGGGGCCACTTGTCTCGCCGGTGGCGTGGCAGTGCGGGGCGGGGTCTGCGCAATCGGCGGATACATGAGGGACACCACCAAGTTCCTCGACGGAAATTTCACCAACCGGGAGACTACAGACGCTACAGGCCGTGTGCTGTTTTTCAGGAAGAACAGGGGTACCGGGATGGAGACGGAGGTGACCGGGGGAGGGGTGCTGGTCAGTGCGGAGCAGCAGGAGGTCATGTGTCGCGGTAGCGACCGGGCCCCGAGTCCGGTTGTTTTTCCCGGATTGCCTCGGCGAATCGCAGCCGGGGGCGTGGCTAGGTGGAAACGGAGGATTTATGTTTTAGGGGGAGAGAATGGCTCGCGGTTCTACGACAGCGTGTACGTTTGGAAGCCCGGCTGGCGCAGCTGGGTCCAGAGACGGGAAAAACTCCCCGGAGACGCTGGGGGGGTGAGCCAGTTTGGGTGTACGACTCTAAAGTTCCCTAAGAAACACTTCCTTTCCAAACTGAGACAAGCCAAAGAAAACTGTAAAAAAACAGACTGACTAGGTCAACGAGGGCACGCCGTTTGATGGCGTGACTCTGAGCTTAGCGTCGATCTCATGCAATGTTGATATTTCTTATGAATTCAGAAGAAAATGTATAATTTTGTACAACTTGTGTGCAGCCACCAAGCAAGCCTAAACCAGTTTACAGCCAATGGTTTGGATCCGGGGTGCCCAACCTTTATTGAAACAAGAGCTACTTTTGAAGTTGGCAATTTGCCGGGAGCTACTCGTCCAGTCTCAGTATAAAAAAAACAATTTTTCATCTCCCTACCCCTCACTTCTTTAAAGTAAATAAAACAGAACATAATGTGTTGCTAGTTTAATTTAAAGTATTGTCAAACAAAACTTACAGTGGGGAGAACAAGTATTTGATACACTGTTGATTTTTCAGGTTTTCCCACTTGCAAAGCTTGTAGATGACTGTAATTTTTTATCATAGGTACTCTTCAACTGTGAGTGATGGAATCTAAAACAAAAATCCAGAGAAACACAATGTATGATTTTGAAATAATTAATTTCCATTTTATTGTGTGAAATAAGTATTTGATACACCAGAAAAMTGAAACTTAATATTTGGTACAGAAACCTTTGTTTGCAATTACAGAGATCAGACGTTTCCTGTAGTTCTTGATCAGGTTTGCACACACTGCAGCAGGGATTTTGGCCCACTCCTCCATACAGATCTC